ATTGCTTAGGGAGATTGATTCCTACACTTGGTGCGTATTTTATGTTTCTGGGTTCCAGCTTTTTAGGCTTAGATCATAAAATTGTCGACCGTGTAGGATGAGAGGCTTCAGGCTTTTATTTTCTGTTTTAGGTCACTCAGCTGTGGGGCAATAGCTTTCTTCTCCAACCTTCAGCTCCCTTGAGTGTGTTCTGAAATGCTCATTCGTACTTGAAGCACCGTCACCTCAGCAGAAGTATATGTTTAGGTAACTGCTGATCATTAACCTGTTTGTAATGTCTCCTTACTGTTTTATGGTACCCAGCTATCCTGCTGCAGTGTCTGGAACAGCGCCCCATCTGCCCAACCTTGAGTGGCTTCCAGTTCACTCAGTGGGACAGTGACTCCCATAATGAGGTATGTCTGTTAACAAGCGGCTTGTATGAGCTCCATGCAGACTGTGATATGGGAGTCGTACTCTGTGTGCTCCACTGCCTCTGTCAAATATTTCTGTAGGCTGGAAAGAAAAGTGAGATTTGCTCTGTGGGGTTGGTGCTGTTCTACCGGAACTGGACAGGGAAGTGGTATGCAGGATTTCCCTGGGGTGCACCTTAACCAGAACTCTGGGACTAAGTAAAGCATTCTCTGAACTACTTTTAAACAGAAAATAGGGTTCAAACCTATTAGAAGGGACATCTCTGGAGAAATACGGACTGCTCAGACATCTAAAGCCTTTGCAAAGGGGTTCCCCAGCACCCATTGGTGTGGAGCAGAAAGGTTGATTTCTCTTGCATATTGAGGTTCTGAGAAAACAAATCTTGTCCTCCTAGATTGGGAGGAGGGTGACGTACTCTGGGCTCAAATGGCCTGCATGTGCCTGAGGATATGATTCATTCTGGAGGCATCACTTGAGTTCAGGGCTTCAGATTCTTAACCATTTCTTCCCCCATCTCTTCCCTAGGGCTAATGTCCTATAGCTGTGGTCACCAACAGGTCGATCGCGATCGACTGGTCAATCGCGAGGCCTCGACCAGTCGATCACGAGGCGTCCTGTCTGCCCCACCCCAATTTCCCTCCCGCCCCTGAGAAGCCCCGCTACCTACCTCCAGTGAAAATGGAGGTAGTGTAGGCTTCCCAGGGATGGACAGAAGTCCCGCAGCTTAGCGCCACTTCTGGCGATTCCAGAAGTGCACTAGCTGCTCTGCCGGGTGTACTGCGGGAGGGAGCATCGGCTCCCTGCACCGCACGGGAGGGGGGAGCCACCCCCGGGGGAGGCGCGCGCGCGGGGTTTCCCTGCGCCGGGGGGGGTCGGCCCCAGGGGAGGCGCGCGCTGGTTTCCCTGTGGGGGCGGAGGAATCCTGGGAGGAGGCAGATACAGGGGACTCTGCCTCCACTGGCACCCCACTCCCCAGCCACAGAACTCTGTCCCCACTCTCCTGTCCCCCACTCCCCGAACTCTGTCCCCCGGTCCCCAGCCACAGAATTCGGTTCCCCACTCCCCGGCCCCCCACTCCCCCAACTCTCCCCGGTCCCCCACTCCCCCACCTCTGTTCCCAGCCACAGAATTCTGTCCCCATTCTCCTGTCCCCAGCTACAGAACTCTGTCCCTATTCCTGTCCCCACTGGCACCCTGTCCCCTGCTACAGAATCCTGTCCTCTGCCCTCCCAGCACCCTGTTCCCTGCCCCCAGCCACAGAACTCTGTCCCCACAAAATGTATAATTTTAAATGCTTCATTTTAGATTTAAATGGCATGAATAAAAAACAGACCATTTATTTCATAACTATAAACACCTGATTTTAATTTTATACATCGCATAATTTAAAAATGAACTGTTTATCAGAGTATGTAAATAAGGCCTGGGGATAGCAAATGATGGACAGGAGGAGAATAGAGAGGGCGGGGCTTCAAGAAAGGGGCGGGGCGATAGATCTTCGCCTGTTTGGAGATTTAAAAAGTGATCTTGGGTGTAAAAAGGTTGGAGCCCACTGTCCTATAGCATCTAATCTGCAGGCTGGAGGCTCCATGGCTGAGCAGGTTATCTGTGACTAGGTCTAGACTGCGATGTTTTTGTGGAAAAAGCTACACACAATGCACTCCGCATATTGCATAGCTTTTTCCGTGTTTTTGTTTTTTTTCCAAGAAGAGACTTTTCTGCCATTTGGCCCCGTCTAGATGGGGCCAAATGGCGGAAAAGCCTCCTCTTTTGGTGGAGCCCTTGTGCCTCGTGAAATGAGGTATACAGTGCTCCCCGAAAGAGTGCATTTACTCTTCCTCAAAAAAAGCAGAAGAGCAAAATGTGTTCCTTGGACACTGGGGTTTTTGTGGGATACCTATGGTATCCCCCAAACCCCTATAGTCTAAATGTAGCTTGAATGTGGGATTCTCTGAAGTGACCATTCTCTGGATAACCAATCTCCTTGATGTGTTTGGTTGGTCCACTGTCTCCAAGTACTGTGGTTTATATTCTGGGGCACGTGTTAAAGCTGTTGGTAGGTGCTTGTTTTGCCCTGGAGGCCCAGGGTTTGGATTGAACCCTTTGTTGCTCTTTCTGCAGTCAGCATCTGCTCTGCTGGATAAATTTAAGAAAAGCGACCACGTGTTTGATATCAACACTGAGGTGGATTGTGACCCTGTAGACTTGGCTGACGCTCTAGTAGACGATGACTTTGATGCAGATATGCCAGATAGGACAGTAGCAGAGGATCTTGGAGAATTCTCAGAAAAGCTGGAAGCCCGCAGGATGGTGCGTGAGAACATGAGGTACGTTGCTTTGGTCTCTAGGGCTATGGCACTCAGCTGGGGTTTGCAATTGAGCAACAGCTTCCAGCTCAGGATTGCCATGCCGTACAGCATTGTCTTGCTTATAGGTTTCCTGATACTTTTCCTGGACTTTTTTGCTGGCGGTGAGGAGTGGCAGCAGGCTGAGGGGGCTGATGATAGGGGACCTTCCCTGGTCTGGCAAATTCCCTCCATTGGGACCGCTAAGGTCCTGAGGATGCCAGATCAGGGAGGTCCAACTTAGAATCATAGAATACTAGGACTGGAAGGGACCTTGAGAGGTCATTGAGTGCAGTCCCTACTCTTCAATATCTCCAGAAATGGAAATTCCACAACCTCCCTGGGCAATTTATTCCAGTGTTTGACCACCCTGACAGTTAGGAACTTTTTCCTAATGTCCAACCTAAACCTCCCTTGCTGCAGTTTAAGCCCATTGCTTGTTCTATCCTCAGAGGCCAAGATGAACAAGTTTTCTCCCTCCTCCTTATGACACCCTTTTAGATACCTGAAAACTGCTATCATGTCCTCCCTCAATCTTCTCTTTTCTAAACTAAACAAACCCAATTCCTTCAGCCTTCCTTCATAGGTCATGTTCTCTAGACCTTTAATCATTCTTGTTGCTCTTCTCTGGACCCCATCCAATTTCTCCTTTTTCACATAACACAGTCAACTTGTGGAGCTCCTTGCCTGAGAGTGTTGTGAAGACCAGGACTTTAACAGGGTTTAAAAAAGAACTAGATAAATTCATGGAGGATAGGTCCTTTAATGGCCAGGATGGGCAGGGATGGTGTCCTTAGCTTCTGTTTGCCAGAAGCTGGGAATGGGTGACAGGAGAAGGATCCCTGATCATTCCCCCGAGGCATTTGTCAGTGGCCACTGTGGGAAAGCAGGATACTGGGCTATATGGACCTTTGGTCTGACCCAGTTTGGCCTTTCTTATGTTCTTATCACAGAAAACTAGCCAGCATCCATCCAGTATGTTATCCAGGTTAAAAATAAGCTACATAGCTCTCTGAAGGGTTTCTTTAGGCTGCAAAGGGCTTTACATGCAATTAAAATGGTGTTACATTTCTCCCATTCCCCAATACTGACCATTCCTATTATGAATCACTGGGACCCTCCTTGCAGAAGATATTCATGTTGAGCTATGTCAGTGAACCTCCATCTTTGGTTAGAACTTGTCTGTGTCACACCAAAGTATTTGTTACTTCAATTCAAGACGCTTCAGTCTGTTGACCACCAGTCCCTGGCCCTGTGTAAAGCATCTCTGAAAGGACTGGCATCCTTGCCCTGCACCAACCATTTGACCGCTGTGTCCTGAAAAGCTTTTGTAGCTGGAAGCTGACAGCCCCAAACATGTGGCAGGGACTGTAAGGTACCCAGACTGTTCCTTTGGCTAGAGCCAGAACAGCTAGCTTTACCCCCTGTGGACTTCAGAAGGAGGAAAGTAAAACTCCTTCCCACCACTTGCTGGGATGGGATGAGACAAAAAGGAATGAAACTCAGGAAATCACCCTTATCCAGTTGCTTCTCTGGTACCTCCTTTAGGGAGCAAGATAGCCAGTCACCATCTGCTTCCCAGAACTTTGTTGGCAAGTAAGCTAACTTGTAATACTTTGTGTGTGTGCCTCTATAACAAACGGCATGGGCTCTAGTGAAGAAGAGATGTAGGGATTAGAGGCCCCTGCTCCCCCTTGCTTGAGCCCAAGAGTTGTCTGTGGTTTTTGCAGACTAACCACTGGAGGGGAAAATGACAAGCATCTGAGCAGGGCTGATGTCATCCAACAGTGAAGCAAGCACACACTGGCCACCCTCTGGGCTCCTGTGGTGTGTGGTGGGGGCTTTTTGAATGCAAAGCTTGCATAGGTTATAACTGACTTGTGGGGGATGCTCTTTCTAGAAAGGACGAGATTCCCCTTGTGGAGGGAGACATCGGGACCATGTGCCTCCATCTCTCTGTGAACCCTGGAGAGTATTCCTACTTCAGCCCTCGCACCATGTCAATGTGGGCCGGCCCTGAGCACTGGCGTTTTAAGCCTCTCCATAAACGTATGTATTTAGTGGATGCAGTTCAGAAAGTGGATCCAATTGCTATACGCTTTGAGTATGTCTAGAGCCACTGAATTGTGAATAGCTGGGTAGGGATCCTCCGTGCTTTGCTCTCCAGTTGTTTTGCAGCCAGTTAAGAGGAATTCTTTCTAGGTAGGTATGGAGTGAGAGGCAATATGTATCTAGGCACTCTCCTAGTACAGCATCTATCCTTGTTCAGCCTGCAACCTCCCACCAACACCACAAAACTCATTTGCATTTTCTGCTTGTGCTTCTTTAGGAAAACAAGCAGCCCTAGAATGAAAACTCCAGTACCTCTGGTAGCTCCCAGGAAAGCTGTGCTGTGTGAAGGCAGAGCATATCCCATCTTCCTTTCCTTTAGCTCAGGAGTATCTGGGTGAGGTGTTCTGAGGAGCTTTCCAAGTAGGCCAGGAATGCTGAGAAGTAAGCGCAGCAGCACTTTGTTCTCTTCCCCAAAAGGTCTAACGCTGACTCTCACCCCCCTTTCTGCAGCAGACGTGGCCTCTGAGAAGGTTGGCAGGAAGAAGAACACAAAGAAAGACTTTGAACTCAACTTTGATGAGGATATTGACTTTGAGATGCATTTCCGTAAGACTAGGGTATGTACTGAGTTGTCAAGAGGACCTGTCTGTTTGCTGCTCCCTTCTCCAGGACATTAGGAGTCTCTTTAATACAAACTGTTAGCGGCCTTCCCCCCCAGTTCTTGTCAAAGACAGACGACGAAGGATCAGCACTCCGAAGTGCAGGCGATGCCATGTTTATTGGGGTTTGTTCCAAGCAAGCCCGGCCATAGGTCTCCCTGCTGACAGAGTCTGTTTCCATGTGTGCCCCTTCTCAGCCCTGATGCTGCTGAGCCTTTACCCCCTGTGCCCTGTCCCCTGGAATTGGGGAATGGTGGTCCTAGCCTCTGTTAGTCAAGCTGGGAATGGGTGAGAGGGGAGGGATCACTCACTGATTCCCTGTTCTGTTCATTCCCTCTAGGGCACCTGGCATTGGCCACTGTGGGAAGACAGGACACTGGGGCTGGATGGACCTTTGGTCTGACCCAGTCTGTTCTTATGTTCTTTTCCCCTCCTAACCGGTTGCTTGATTCTGGCTTCAGAGAGAATGGGGCAGATCTGTTGAGTAAATAGGGTCTCTTTTCCATCATTACTTGTGAGATGAGACCCATAGCTCAAGCCTCTTGAGTTACCATAGTGCTAGGCCCACATACTCTCTGCTGCTATCCCCCACTTGCTGTGCCACATGAAGCTCTGAGGACCCACTGCAGAATTTTTAGTGTGCTAGCTCCAATCCACCATGGACCTTGCAGCTGCTGTGCCCTGGCAAGCAAAGGGGTTCTTTGAAATGGCTCCTCAGTGTGTAGGCTGGAGATGATTAGTCTAGGCCCAGCCGTCAGGTTGGCAGGTGATCTTATGTAATACGGTGCTGACCTTCAACAGGCAGCTACAACTCTGGCCAAATCAACTCTGGACAACCAAAACAAGAAGGGCACCACGCTCCCTGAAGACTTCCACTATGACCCTGACAGCATCATCCAGCTCTCCCTCAAACCAGCTGTCAAGGTAGAGTTCCTGACCTCATTGTGTTCTCTGCCTGGCCAATGTGCTGTGGGCAGAGGGACTCGTATTGTGCAATCACTGAGCATCCTCCAGCAGGAGATAGGTCACCAAGGAGGTGCTCAGTTTATCTGGCCTTACCTGACTTGTTGGTATCGGATGTGTTGTGCTCCTCACCCTGTGCACAAGCAGGAGGGGAGGGTAAAGCGGAGGAGGGCTGGGGCGGGCCTAGGAGGAAGGGGATGTGGCCAGTTGTTCTGTGCAACGGCCAGGGTCTGTGTGTCCTCCCCTCACTCTGGCCTTGTCCCTGCAGCTGTGGAGGAGAGCTGTGCAGAGCAACCCTGCTGAGCAAGAGGATGAGATTGGCGAGTATGATTACAACAACCCCAATGACACCTCCGACTTCTGTCCTGCACTGAAGGTAGGTGGGGCACTCAGATGTGGGCTGTCCTGTCCACCTTACCACGGGTAGGCCCTTTATCCCGCCTGCCCCAGCTGGTAGGGTGGCCTGCCGCACTGCTCAGACCCCGTGTCTTGCTGCCCTGCCTGCTTCCACTCATTCCCATGTGGTCCCTGCAGTGCTTGAGCCAGCACTAGAAAAGCCCACTGGTGGAATGGCTGTTGACTGGCCTATAATGCAGCTGTAAGTTTTCTTGGCCCATAAGAGCGTCTTCATGACTAACTCTATCCCTCCACACTTACTAACCTTGGACTCATGCTGACACGAACTTGCCAGCTCCTGGGTCTGCAAATCTGTCCCCTCCACCTGCTGAAACCCTGGGCCGGACTTTCACCCTCTGGGCCATCTCCAGTGTGCAACCCCTTGCCCAGCCTGCAGCGCCACTGTCACATCCTCCAAGGCCTCCAGCAGCATCTCAGCTGGTTTTCAGGATCCTGGTCCAAGTGCTCTGCTTTGGCTCTTTCAGAGCTTCATGGACTTGTTTCAGGGCCCTCTCAGACTATTTGTTCAGTCATGGGAGAGCTTAGGCGTCCTGTGTCCAGCGCTGGGAAATGCACCGTGCTGGGGATATTTGAGGGGTGTGCGAGTGCAGGAAGGACATGGGCTCCAGCAGCTGCATGAGGCCTCTCTCTGCAAAATCTGCTTAGGCTGCTGCCAGTGATGACGACGATGATCCCATGGACTGTGTGGGCCAGGGTGGAACCTTTGAGGTGACTGTCGGGGGGGTGGATCCATACGGTGAGCTCAGCGGGGCGCTTGTGGCTGACATCATGACGTACGGCGAGGCCAACCTTGTTGCTGAGCCCCAGAAGGTAAGAACTGGTGCGCTGCATGTGCAGTCCCTTCAGGTATGTGGCCAAGCGCCATCAGGGCCAGTCCTGTCGGGGCTGTGGCCCCCAGAGAGCAGGGGAGCCCTGTGTTGCTCCCCATAGCACACTAGCAGTCAGTGCAGGAGAGGGTAACTCATCTGAAGGGGGCTCCAGTCCGTGGGAGGAAAGCTGTGAGATGGAGCAGGTATCTTGTCAGGGTGGTTAAACACTGGAATAAGTTGCCTAGGGAGGTTGTGGATTCTCCATCTCTGGAGATATTTAAGAGCAGCTTAGATAGACATCTGTCAGGGATGGGCTTCTGGGTCCTGCCATGAGGGCAGTGGACTGGACTCAATGACCTCTCGAGGTCCCTTTTAGTCCTAGTATTCTAGGATTCAAATCGACCAGAGAGGGGACCCTGCTGGGCTCAGCTCTCTAGTCAAATGGATACATTTCCACTTGTTTGGGGCAACAGCTGTTTTCTTTGCTCCGCACCACCCTTCTCACCCTGCATCTCTGTCTTCAGGTCAATAAGATAGAAATACATTATGCAAAGATGGCCAAAAAGATGGATATGAAGAGGCTAAAGCGGACCATGTGGGATCTCCTGACTGATGTGCAGAAGGAACAGGTGGGGGCAGAGGTGAGTGCAAAGAGAACCCAAAGCCACCATCCATCCACTCACCCCTGTGTAAACCAACCTGACATCCCAATCTCAGGCTGCCCTCTGCATCTTAGTGCCCTAGCTGACTCAGTCCCCTGCATTTGTAGCCAAGGGATCTCTGCTGCTTCTAGGAGTCACCTTAGAATCATAGAACCATAGAGCTGGAAGAGACCTCAGGAGGTCATCAAGTCCAGACCCCTGCTCTAGGCAGGACCAATCCCAACTAAATCAACCCGGCCAGGGCTTTGTCAAGCCGAGACTTAAACACCTCTAGGGATGGAGACTCCACTACTTCCCTAGGTAACCCATTCCAGTGCTTCACCACCCTCCTAGTGAAATAGTTTTTCCTAATATCCAACTCGGACCTCTCCCACCACAACTTGAGGCCATTGCTCCTTGTTCTGCCATCTGTCACTACTGAGAACAGCCTCTCTCCATCCTCTTTGGAACCTCCCTTCAGGAAGTTGAAGGCTGCTATCAAATCCCCCCTCACTCTTCTCTTCTGCAGACTAAAACAGACCCAACTCCCTCAGCCTTTCCTCATTAGTCATATGCTCCAGCCCCCTAATCATTTTGGTTGCCCTCCGCTGGACCCTCTCCAATGCGTCCACATCCTTATTGTAGTGTGGGGCCCAGAACTGGACACAATACTCCAGATGTGGCCTCACCAAAGCCAAATAAAGGGAAATGATGACATCTCTGGATCTGCTGGCAATGCTCCTCTTAATGCAACCTGATATGCCATTAGCCTTCTTGGCTACAAGGGCACACTGTTGACTCATATCCAGCTTCTCATCCACTGTAACCTCCAGGTCCTTTTCTGCAGAACTATTAGTTAACTGGTTGGTCCCCAACTTGTAGCTATGCTTGGGATTCTTCCGTCCCAAGTGCAGGACTCTGCACTTGTCCTTGTTGAACCTCATCAGATTTGTTGTGGCCCAATCCTCCAATTTGTCTAAGTCACTCTGGACCCTATCCCTACCCTCAAGCATATCTACCTCTCCCCCTGGCTTAGTGTCATCCGCAAACTTGCTGAGGGTGCAATCCATCCCCTCATCCAGGTCATTAATAAAGATATTGAACAAAACCAGTCCTAGAACCGAACCTTGGGGCACTCCGCTAGAAACCGACCGCCATCCTGACATCGAGCCATTGATCACTACCCGCTGGGCCCGGCCTTCTAGCCATCTTTCTATCCATCTTACCGTCCATTTATCCAATCCACATTCCCTTAACTTGCTGGCAAGAATATTGTGGGAGACGGTATCAAAAGCCTTGCTAAAGTCAAGGTATATCACATCCACTGACTTTCCCACGTCCACAGAGCCAGTTACCTCCCTGGTGGATCTTGAACGTTGGATGAAGCAGTCCATTGAGTGCAACCCATCTAGCACTGGCAGAATTATCTTGTTCAGGTGTATGAGCTCCAAGGACATGCTCTTGGCTTTGGTCCCTTTCTCTCATGCTGAGGTGGGCTTGGGAGGGCTGCAGATCAATGCCCATGGCCCCTTGAGGGCTAGACTGTCCCTGGCAGCCTTAGGAGAGGGGCTGGCTCCCTTCAAAAGGAGCTGTCCCTTCCTGCACTGATGGGGAGAGAAGTTCAAGTCTGGTGCTGCTGTGAGTCTCCTCCTTGATGCATCTTGTGCCTGCTCATATTTGGGAAAACAAAAGACCTGGAGGCTTTCCTGGCGTAGTCTCAGAGAGCACCCGATTGCTGGACCTGCCTGTGCCTGAATATGACCCGCCTTTTCTCCCCTTGCTGAAGCAGAATGAAGAGGCAGAGAAGAAGACTCACTCTGCAACAGTAGCAGGCGAGAAGGTTTTCAGTGGCATCACAAAGGATCTGCTTCACAGGTATGTGGGGCCAAGACCCTTACAGGGGCTGGGCCACGGCTGCTGGTGGCTGACTCAGATGTGATGCTGCTAGAAGCCTCTAGAGCAGAGGTGGACAAACTTTCTGACCTGAGGGCCATGTCAGAGTATGGAAATTGTATTGTGGACCATGAATGCTCATGAAATTGGGGATGGGCTGTGAGAAGGGGAGTAGGGCTCCAGCTGGGGGCACAGGCTCCACAGTGGGGTTGGGGATGAGGGGTTTGGAGCTCAGGAAGGGGCCCTGGGCTGGGACTGAGAGGGCCTGGGCCTGGCCTTGGAGGGTAGGAGGGGGATCAGGGTTCTGGTAGGGTGATTGGGCACAGGAGGAGGTCAGGTTGCAAGCTCTGGTGGTGCTTACCTCCTCAAGCAGCTCCCAGATGCACGTCCCCCCTCCAGCCAGCCCCTATGCTTAGGCATGGCTGGGGAGCTCCGTGCACTGCCCCGTCCGAAGGCACACTCCTGCAGTTCCCTTTGGCTGTGGTTCCTAGCCAATGGGAGTTGTGGGGGCAGCACACGCAGCCTCTGGCTGTGCCTACACATAAGAGTTGGAGAGGAAATGTGCTCCTGCTTCCAGGAGCCGTGTGGGGCGAGGCAAGCCTCCGACCCCAGGCTCTAGTAGGAGCTTGAGGAATGGATAAAAATGGCTGATTGTCTGGATGTGGACCGAGGGCCATGGTTTGCCCACAACTACCCATCTTGTCCTGTTGTGGGATAATGTCACTCTTGGCTTTTATCCAGGGGTGTCAGTCTGAAGCAATTGGCTGCTGAGGGTGTGCCTGAATTACAGTGCAACACCAACAGCTGCCCTGTGTCAGCTCAGGCACAGACGGGACCCTGGGTTCTGGGACCCTCCCCCTGCCAGATCCCAGAGCTTGGGCTGAGTTCATAGGTCTATACTGGCATTTTATAGCCCTGAGCCCAAGCCAGCTGCGGTGCCTCTTGGTTGTGTGGCCAGCGCTGCCTGTCTTGGCTGTAATGAGAGGCTCTCCTAGTTGCTGCGTGTCAGAACCGCTTGGGCTGAAGTTCTGGTTGCTGAATGCCGATTACCCTTCAGCCCAGGCACCATCTAGGCTGCTTTGCTGAGACCAGTGTGAAGTAGCTTCAGGCCTGAGCCGGGTTTGTGAGCACTTCCCTTCGGGGGAGACAGATTTTGGGCTCCTTTATTGAGAAATTGGAAAAGCTGGAGACCAATGAAGGATCTGTCCATACTTAACCAGTGTGCTCCATCGGTGGTATGTTCAGCGAAGCCTGCAGCTGTCTGTATAACCACCTTCCTTCCCTTGGCTGTTTTGCAGGCTGCCTTCCATGATGGCTCAGAACCTCTCGGTTCCACTGGCGTTTGCCTGCCTCTTGCACTTGGCAAATGAAAAGGTGAGTGCTGTATGTGAGTGCATTTCCGAGCAACTCCCATGAATCAATGGGGTCTACAGGCAGCAGTCAGTGAAAGAGGGTGGGGTGCTGGGTTTGAAAGACCCACCTGGCACATACCCAGGAAAGAATCCTCTTCAGTGACTCAGCACCCTCCCCACCTAGTGTCCCATCTCCGGCCACTGGAGATATTTGCTGTTAGCAGTCCCAGGTCAGCGCCATGCCATTAGAGGCAGTCCCACCATCCTGTCCTGCCGTAAGTCTCAAAGCCACGTTCAAGCTCAAAGCCAGGTAGGTTTTTGCCCCCACTGCTCCCCTTGGCAGGCTGTTCCAGATCTTCACCCCTCTGCTGCTTCATAGTAACCCCACTTTTCTTCTCATTCTGTTTGTTTCTATGGCCAGATACCTTTTCTTGCTATTTAAATTTCCTTTGCAAGAGGTAACTCAGCTTGACTTTTTGAACCCTCTCTCATCCCTATGCTTTCTAGCCTCCCAGCTGTAGCTTTCTTTGCTGATCGGTCCCTTCTGTGAGTCCTTGTATAAGTCTCTCTGCTTACTCCTGCATTCTCTTGGAAGTGGCTATTCATCCAGCAGCAAACACACTGGCCACAATTTACAGCTTGAATTTGGCTTTTCACCTCTGAAATCAGACCCCAAGCTTCCCTCTGAACATCAGTTCTGGGTTTTAGTTCCGTTCCCTGAGTGCAGATAAGAAATAGGCAAGTTGGCTCCTGGGTAGTGGCTCAAGAGCCATCCTGAGCCACCTGGAACCATTTTAGGGACAAAGCTGGAAGTCGGTCTAGCTACTGCTGACCCTGTCCTGAGCCCTGTGACTGATGGGTTACAGTGTACCTGTGGGATGCTGTCATGGTGCTTGGGTGCTGATGGAAAGAGTCTGGCTTGTAGAATCTTTCCTACTCTTTTCAGAATCTGAAGCTGGAGGGGGTGGAGGACCTGTCTGACGTCCTTGTGAAGCAAGGGGATTGACCTACCGTGGGCAGAGCTGGCTGCTTTTCATCCCACCATGAGACTGGCCATTTGCTCCAGCAAGTGACACGACTGGGTCTCATCACTCAGAGGTTTCTCTCCCCGGCCAGCAATATCAATTGGCTTTCTCAACCCCTCGTGCAAATCATGGACACCTGCCTCTTCAACCTGAGCTTGTAAGGTCACTCAGGCAGATGGGATTGCTGCTCTTTGGCCTCCAGGGGAGCGGAAGACCTCTTTGAACTATCACCCTTCTCCCTTGCTTTGTTAGGTGGGTCCCCTGTAATAGTGACCCACAGATTTCTGGTGCTTGCCAGAGCCACTGCTTCAGCAAGGAACTCCCCAGTATCACCCTTCTCTGGGTGTGAACACTGCTGAGCTCTCCTGTACAGATGAGGCTTCACCCCCTTGCCTGCGTTCTCTCTGAAATGATTTTACATATTTTGTACAGAGACTTCTTTTTAAAAAAAAAAATAAACTGCTGCAGCGTTGGTTCAGATCTGAGGGGTTCTGCTTTCACGAGGGTGGGGGAGAGAGGGTTTCCCCAGGGTAGAATCAAACCTACCACATCTCCCTTATAGAATTCTCAGGGCTGGGAGGTGCTAAAGCAGAGAAGAGTAAAACTGTGAATGCTGCAGCATGGGACTGCGAATGCCCTCCTGCACCTCTGGCACAAGACCTAGGGTGCCTGAAGAGGCTGCATTGACAGACTTGACACTAATTCTTCTGCCCGTTCTCAAAACTGGAGTAAACAGCAAATGGTGCCACCACTGAGCTGTAGAATTCCATGGTGCATCATCCTGGTCACCTTGCCAAATAAATAGTACATAAACCACAAGGGGTGCTTCCCAGTGGTGCTGCAGGCACTGGTGGATCATAAAGGCCATTTCACCAACATAAAAGTAGACTGCTTGGGAAAAGTCTATGATGCGTGCATCTTTAGGAACATCTTCCTCTTCAGAAAGCTGCAAGACAGAACTTTCTACCCACACCGGAAAATCATTGGAGATGTTGAAATGCCAATAGTCATCCTTGGAGACCCAGCCTACCCCATGCTCCTCTGGCTCATGAAACCGTACATAGTGAAATTATCATGAAGACTATTTCACTCAGCTCTCTGCCATGTTCTATGATTTGGAAAAGACTGATACCATGCAAGTACCAACGGTGACCCTTTTCCTGAGCCCCATTTGAGAGTGTTAAGTTCCCTTCTCTCTCTGCATTCCTGTGGTGTCCCCAGCAAAGAGCCCTGGGGGAGCAATTGCCTTTGGTTCTCTTCCCCAACTTCCGTAGCTGTGGCTGAGAAGCAACAAGAAAGCCTGCCAGCAAGTGGAATTCAGCATGAGGATGCTGGTGCAGAGCAAGCTGTGTGGATTGTAACAGGAGTACTGGGAGGATCAGGGTCTGTTTCATTGGAACTGAAACACTGTAGTTGCTTATGACCTTTTGGAAATGTTTCCCCTAGTTTTTGATCTTTCTAAGGCAGCCTTGCAAAGTCGCTTGGAAAATGTATGGGTCAAGGCGTGAAAGAAGGAACATTCTTACTCTGCCCGGAAGAATGTCTCAGCTGCTTTAATGTCACCCTTTTTCTGTGGCTTGTGTTGGAAGAAAAGTTTGCTTCAGTAACCGCAGTGCCTTCCACACCAGTTGGGGAAATATACCAGCCCCATCATGGAGATCCAGTGTCACTACAGCCACTTTGCTAAGACCCACAATCTCTCCCTTCAAACTGGTATAAATGCATGTTTCTTGCTATATTAAGACCATGAAACATGAGATTTGTAGTTTGGTTTTACTCCACTCCTGCCAAAGGAGTCATTTCATGGTGGTTTGGTACAGCACAATAGCTCGTTAAGTTAGCTCCTCCATGGGTGCTCCCTGCAATTCTGCCTGTAGGTTAATGTGCTTTTGTCAGTGGCCCGAATAATCCCTCTTGTGGCCAATGGACTGCACACCTTGAATTAGAATCCGAGGCCTGGATTTTGCCCTCATAAGTTTCTCTAAGTTGACCACCCAGTAGATCCTGGAGCCTCTGACAGGTGATCCTGACTGATTTGGCCATGAAACTATCAAATGCAAGCATTTCAGCTGCCCCTCACCTACTGTCATGCTGTACTTGCCCTCTGCTTTGGCTGCCCCACAGGAGCCTCCTGCTTGCTGTGTGAGGGAGAAGAGGGGAGCATGGATGTCCTGGTGTCCCCCTTCCTCCACTTCTGTACTCCATCTCTGCAGAGATAAGGGGAATATGATGGCTCAGATGGAGGAGCTTGCTGGCAGCAGCTCTTATGTCTGACTGCTCAGAATATTTAAAGGAGTGATGCGCATCTGTCATTCTATCCTTTTATGTACGCTGTCTCTCACATACCCTGTCTTTCACACTCACCTACTTTCAAAGTGTTTGTAGGGTTTTGACTGGCCTGTGAATTTCATAACTTTTATTTCTCTTGTGCTTAAATTTTAATTCTCTGAGTAGTGAGTTAAAAAATGCCTAACCTGTCATGGCTGGAGTAATTATCTCTCTTTTTTTTTTTTTTAATTGCCATATATGAATGGTTTCTACTGATGGTGCACATCCACATGTTACCTTAATAACAAAACTCATTCTGCACATGGAAAAAATTAGAAGGGAAACCAGCAGGAAGTCTCCTGGAATCGGGATAAATCTTGGAGGCTGCTGTAGCCAAACAAGGAGATTGGTCACAGTTCCCCATTCCTGGACTGCTAGTGGCCACTGGGAGTTGCAGGGGCAGTGCCTGTGGATGCAGGGCAGCACACGGAGCCTCCACTTTTTGGGAGCAGTGCAAGGCCAGAGGGGTGAGCTTGCTTTTGCCCTGTTGCACCACTGTCTGGGAGCCACCTGAGGTAAGTGGTGCCCAGCCTGAGCACGCATCCTGACCTCCCAGCCCTGAGTCCCCTCCTGCACCCCAACCCTCTGCCCCAAGCTCAGCCTGGGGCCTTTCCCATACTCCCAACCTCTTGGCCCAAGACCAGAACCTGCACCCAAACTCCTGCCCCAGCCTGGTGAAAGTGAGTGAGGATGTGAGAAGAGGTGGGGTCTCAGGAGTGGAGAAGGAGGCGGGCCACAGGTGTTGGGTTTGAGGTAGATCCTGGATTGCCCTTTAAATGCAAAGTGTTCCTGTGCTAATGAAGTCAGTGAATCCTGCTGGGAGGCCTTCTAGTGCCACGAGCACATAAGGATTTATGCTCCTGCTTAGGGAGCAGAACATACTGGGCTGGGCAGAAGGGGGACACAGAATGTAGCTATGGCTGAGCCTCCCCACAAGAGTCTGTCCTATGTCCCTCCAGGACAGGTTTTGTTTCCAGCAGCCTGAGATGCTCCTACTATGGGCCATGAGCATCAGTCTATAGAGCTCTGGGCCAACAAGCTCTGTGGCTCCCCCTCACAGTGTCCAACTGGAAACAGCAGTCTACCCCCAGGACTCCCTGGCCATATCATATAGCAGGTCCCAGCATGTCCTTTCTGCCTGATGGCACCTTGGTCAAACCCATAGGTGGGATCTTCTCCTGTCTGCTCAGGCACTTTCTCGGCTCACAGGAGCCGAGCGGGTCCTGGGGAGAAGGCCTAGGACCCCCCCTGGCTGTCCCCGCTGAGATCCAAGGGCACTGTCAGGGTGGGAAGTGGAAGAACCGGGATATCCTGCTGCCTGGTCCGCTGCCTTGGGGTAGCCCCTTCAGCTGCAGTGGGTGCCTGTGAGCCAGCTCTTCCTCCAGCATCTAGAGCAGATGAGAAGAAAGGGTCAGGGGTTACCAGCAGTGCAGCTTGGAGCCGCTTGCCCAGGGAAGCCTGCTCGGCCTTTCAGCCAAGGCCCTTCCTTGCCCCAGCTGGAGACCCAGGTTCAAAGCAGCACGTGTCAGACATGTGAAGGCTCCACACCTGCTTCTAAGGTTGACTGGGCCTTGTGATGGGTGCCTGGAGCAGGGCCAGGAGCGTGCTGCTCTATGTAGATTGTGCCCCACTCCTGGGGATGTGCTGTGTGCACAGCAAGCTCCAGAGCTGCCATCCACCGCTCCTAAGAGCTCCCAACAGCCAGGCTGGCCTGCCCATGAGGTCAGTTTCTTCCCCCATATCCCTGCAGTACAGCTGGTGCCGCTACAGCACGGTGTGGGGAAGGAGAAGTGGGGCCTAGAACCTTCCCCCTTTCGATTTCTAGGGCTTTGCAATGCTGTTCCCCCTCTCCCGGTGCTGATGTGATAATCCCAGCTCTGGGAGGCTCACTTCTTTGCGGGCAGCGAGCCGCTGTTTCCACTCGCTCAGCTCCATGGTGTGTTCCTCGTCCAGTCCCTTCAGCTGCTTCTTCTCCTGCTCAACCAGCAGGCGGAGCTTCTCTCTCTGGGGATGTGCAGGGCAAGAGCAGTTAGGTAGGGCTGTGGGGAAAGCCCTGCCCAGCTCTGAGCATGCGGCTGGTGAGACGTGTGAGGCAGGAGCAGTTAGCTAGAGCGATGAGGAGACCCCAGCTGGATGTGAACGACTAGTCGACTATCCCATAAGCAAACGTTTATCGGATAGTCACCAGAGTAGTTGACTAGTTGCTTTTCCCCCTTGTTGCCTCTATATCAGAAATAGGCAGTATGGGGGGGGGGAGATGGGGTACTTCAAAGGGCAGCACTGCGTGCAACCCAGGACGAGCTGGGGACTCCAGGAGCCCAGGCTCAGTGGGGGAGTCCCCAGCTGATCCTGGGCTCCATGGGGCACTGCTGTTTTGAAATGCCATGAGGAGTCTGATGCCGGGCTCCGCACAGTGTTTCAAAGCGGTAGCTCCGCATGGAGCCCAGAGTCAGCATGGGAGGCTCCAGCTGTCCCTAGGCTCCACTTGGCACTTTCACCTTTGAAGAGCAGCAAGAGCCCTAAGGCTGCCGTTACACTTCAAAGGTGGAGCCGCCCTATCGACTAACTGGATAGTCAATGCAAAATGCATCGATTAGTCAACTACTTGCAATTTACCATCCCTGCTCTGAGCAGGGGGTTGGTAAAGTGCGAGGCCGGAGCTGTTAGCCAGGACCATGGGGATAGCACAGCCGGGATCTGAGCATGCCGCTGAGGCAGAGCACCTCCAGGCCAGGCTCCCAGATGCCTGAGGAGCTCACAGTTGCCTGATACCAAAACCTGCAAGGGCTGGTGTGCTGGTTCCCGAGGCAACTGCCCAGCAGCCCACGTCAGCCAGCTGGGCCCTGTGTGTTGCGGGGAAGTGACCTGCCCAGACTTGGCTCAAACTCACCTGCAGCTGCTCCAGCTCACTGAGGCTCTCAGCCAGATGCTGCTGCAGGTCCTGCAGCTGCTGCTTGTGCTGCTGCTGCTGGCGCTGCACCTCTGCCCTCTGGCGTGGCTCCTCCTGCTGCAGGAACTGAGAGCAGGTAGGACCTTGCATTACGCTGCTGTGCTCGCAATTCTGGCAAGGCCTCAGGGGTGGGGGACCTGCCAGAGGCCTTGGGCAGGTGCAGACTCTTCCTGCTCAGCACAACCCTCCTGGCATCAGCCCAGCTCCTTGAGCGGCCCCCCGGGACTGAGCCTGCTGCGGGCCAGGGTGCCAGAGGTCCAGCTGGCAGCCAGAGCCGAGCCAGGAGGGAGGTGGTGGTCTCCAGGACCCTTCACAGAAATTACAGCCACTCTGGGCCCCAGACCCCATGTGCTGGGAGTCTCGGGGACTGGCCAGCTGCTGGTGGCTCCATTACTGGACCCTCTTATCTTCCCTGCTAGCAACGGAAACGTACTCAGCTGTGGGGCTGAGCTGGGCCGTGGCTGCCCACAGCTGAGAAAGCGCCTTCCTCTGCCCAGTGCCTGGGCTGGCCACATGGGCTCTGCACTAGCAGCGGCCTGTGGCTGGGCTGTGGCCCATGCAGCAGGAGAGGGGCTGCCAGTGGCCAGTACCTGCTTAGTCCTGTCCCTCTGCTCAGCGCCCATCACCTCCTGGATCTTCAGACTTTCCTTGAACATGGCCAAGCGGAGCTTGGCCTCCCCACGCTGGGTTTTCAGCAGCTGTACCTGCTGATGTGCCTGCTGCTGCCTCAGCTCGGCCAGCAGGCGCTGGTGGAAGCGGGTCATCCGCTCGGTCTCCTAGGAGAGAGGCACACACAAGTCTCAGGGGTCAGCAGCCAGCATGGGGCAGGCCCAGGTGCTTAGGCAGTGAGCTGCTGTTAGCTCTGGACTGCCTGCTGGCTCCTGTTGACTACTGCACAGCCCCTCCTGGGGGCAGAGTGAATGCCTGGCAGAAATCTCCCCTCCAAGCTCCAGTCTCCCTCTCTCTTCTCAGTGCTGGCTCCAGGCTGAGCTGAGAGAACTTCGGTGGGGTTCCAGCAATGATCCCTAGCCCAGCACCCCCCTCCCTCAGGAACCAGCATGAGCCAGGGCAGGGCAGTGCAATGCAGTGGCTGGAGGAGGCCGTGTGCAGGGAGAGTGCGATGCCTGGCAGAAATCTCCCCTCCAAGCTCCAGTCTCCCTCTCTCTTCTCAGTGCTGGCTCCAGGCTGAGCTGAGAGAACTTCGGTGGGGTTCCAGCAATGATCCCTAGCCCAGCACCCCCCTCCCTCAGGAACCAGCATGAGCCAGGGCAGGGCAGTGCAATGCAGTGGCTGGAGGAGGCCGTGTGCAGGGAGAGTGCGGCTCAGGCAGGCGGTGCTCATGTGCACTGGCCCCTGCCTGCCATTCCCTCCCCAGCTTGAGCCTGGGACCGGGGTGGGCAATGGCTGTGCCAGTGTGGGCTCAGCCCAGTTCCTCAGGTACAGGAGATGCTGGGTCCTGCTGGCCCAGGGGCTCTGGTCCTTCTCTGCGGATACTGAAGCCTCCTGCCCTAGCTTCCATTCTGCCCACGTGGCTCACTCAGTGGCTGGGCTCAACCCGCTCCCCTGTCCCATGCGGGGGGAGCCTCAGTGCTCACCTGCTCCTGCCGCTTGTTGAGCTGCTGCTGCTGCAGGGAGTACTGCTCCTTCACCTGCTGCTTGAAGAGATGGTACTTCTCCTGCAGGTGGCCTTGCTCAACGCTCCACACCACTGACTCCCGGGCTGCAAAGGGCGGAGAATCCCTGCTCTGACCCGCACAAAGTGCTTCTCTCTGCTCAGTCCCGCCAGTCCCCCCTGACCCTCCCTCCCTCCACCACGTGACTCCCCCATGTAGCTGTTCCTAGCACCACCCAGCCCTGCTGCTCCTTCTCCCTCTAAACCAGCGTGCAGAGAAGGCTCTTTAAAGACCTAGGAGGAAGGGGAAGGCAAGTGCCGGTCCTCCTCTTAGCGGGGAAGGAGAGCTAACAATGGAGGACAGCAAAAAAGCAGATGTGAATCATTGGTTTGCTGCATCTCAGCCCTTATCCCTCCCCCAGCTCCAGGTACCTCTCTTGAGACTGTGGATCTTGCTGACGCACTCCCACTCGATGGAGGTCACTTTCTTTTTGTGCTCCTGCACAATTCTCTGCAAGGCCAGGTTTAGCTCCTCTTGCTGCTGCTGCAGAAATCTCTGCTCCTGCCAGTTAGAATCACATGAAGCTGGCCCAGGGCAACCAGTCTCAAACAGTCAGCCCCACAAGCGCAGCAGCTGCTGCTATGAGCCAGCTCCATCAGCTGGGACCTCTCTGGGTCAGTGCCCAGGCTGCTCTGCCCACCATTTAGCAGCTTGCTTGAAGGGTCCTTAGCAGGCCTGCTCGGAGCCCCCCAAGGCAGGGAATCTCACCCCAGGGCCCCTAGCAAGAGAGGGCTCCACATGCCCCGTGCTGCTGGCAGCAAAAATTGGGCAGGAACTAACCATTGAACAAAGTCTGTTCTGCAGGAGCCCAGCTCCAGCTTGCTGTTAATGCCATTCCACGAGGCCTGGGCTTTTCCTTGGGCCCAAAGGAGTCACATTGCAACACATGTCAGGCACTTGCCCCCCTTTGGCCTTGTGCAAAGTCCCAGCTTTGCTGGTGTATGAAAGTGACCCAGCTGAACTAGACCAGCACTGGCCTCAGCTGGGAGCTGAGCCCTCAGGGCTCCAGTCACAAATCCTGCTGTAGGGCAGGAACAGCAGTACAAGGGCTCGGGAGCCAGGAGTGCTCACCACAGAAATAGCCCTAGCCGTAGGCGCACCTAGGCTGCATGACCAGGGTTTTTACAGGATGGCAAAGGGACCTTTGGATCCTACTGGGCAAGTGAAGTGTCTTAGAGCCAGTGGCACAGTGGGGGCTGCAGAGTCCATTAGCTAAGTCAGGCGGCTTAGCTCTGAGCAGCCGGATTGTCATTGTTGCCCTTTGGCTTAGGGAAGGAGAGGGATCCCTAGATTCCCCATGGCTTAGGGGGGAAAGAAAAGATCCCTGGGTCCCACTGGCTCGGGGAGGAAGGATCCCTAGGGCTCTAGGTTCCATTGTCTGGAAGAAGGATCATAGATCTCACTGGCTCGGGGCGGGGGGGAAAGGAGACCCAGATCCCACTGGCTTGAGACTGTAGGCTCTCGGCAGGCAGGTACCTCTCTCCTGTTGCCTCTCAAGGCTGGTAGCTTCTTGCCATAGTCCTTTTCCTGCAGGGCTTTCAGGCGCTTGGCTTCGTCCCGGAGCCGGGTGGTGAACTCGTGCTCCTGGCGTTCCCGGGCCTGCCGATGCTGCCGCTCCAGGCTCTCCACCTCCTGGTCATAATACTGCTTCTTGCTCTGTGAGCACAGAGCAGGGTGCTTAGCAGGCCTTTTCCACACGCTCCCAGCAACCCTGATAGCGGGGCCTGCCAGAGGGGCTGAACCAAGAAAGCACCAGCCCCAAATTGCAGGGGTTGCTGTTCCCAGGCAAACAGTTGGCTCCAAGCCTCTGGGCTTTGGCCACCCTGGGTCTTCCTCGCAGAGCGGGAAAGTGCTGGGCACATGAGCCTCTTGCACACTTGCCTCCCACAGGCTGTGAACACGGGGCAGCGTCCAGGCCTCTGCCCTCCTCTCGCTCCCCGTCTGCAGGCCCAATGACACTCCATGCTGGAGGGGGTAGGGCTCGGCCCGGGGGGCAATGAGACCCCATGCAAAAGGAAGACAGGGCTCAGTGTGGGGGGAAGCAGGGTTGCCAGCCCCAGACATATGCAGGGAGGAGTCTCAGGTGAGCAGCGACACCAGCCCCACATGGGGAGGGCAGCTCAGGCCAGGAGGGCTTGGGCGAGTGACTTAGACCAGTCCCGTGCCGGGTACCAGAGGTCCTTGGTCCAGTCCCATGTGGTGTCCCATTTCCCTTTGGGAATGATGGTCACCCTCAGCATGTCCCATCCATGTGGGATTTGGAAGAGGAATCTGGGGAGATTGAGGCCTGGGATGGTTTTCAGTTCCCTGCTTGCTGAGCTGCATGTGAGCCTGGTGCTGCAGGATGTGCCATGGGGACGGGAGGGGCTGTGGTCTGCCTGGCCTGGTTACCATCATTTCCTGCTCAATGTGGCGGAACATCTGCTCCCGCTGCTGATGGAGCTTCTGCTCCAGGTGACTCTGGGCTCGCTGCTCTTCCTTCTGGAGGAGGCGGAGTTCGTGCAGCTCCTGGCGCCTGGCAAGTCAGATCCACCAAGAGGGAGATACATTGGCAAGCAACCTCGTGACCGTCAGCCATTTCAGACCCAGACTTGACCCCAAACCCATTTCATTTGTCTCCTCGGGTGACCCTTTCCTAAGTTTTCAAACTCCACTGTCTTCAGCACAGCTATGCCAATAGAAACACGAGTCAGCACTGGTAGAATCAGAGAGCTGGAAGAGACCTCAGGAGGTCATCAAGTCTGGCCCCCTTCCCAACGCAGGCCCAATCCCAACTAAATCAACCCAGCCAGGGCCCTGTCAAGCTGAGATTTAAAAACCTCCAGGGATGGAGATTCCACCCCCGCCCTAGGTAACCCATTCCACTACTTCACCACCCTCCTAGGGAAATAGTTCTTCCTAATATCCAACCTAGATCTACCCCACTGTAACTTGAGACCATTGCTCCTTGTTCTGCCATCCGTCACAACTGTGAACAGCCTCTCTCCATCCTCTTTGGAACCTCCCTTCAGGAAGTTGAAGGCTGCTATCAAATCCCCCCTCACTCTTCTCTTCTGCAGACTAAACAAACCCAAATCGCTCAGTCTCTCCTCAGGTCATGCGCTCCAGTCCCCTAATAATTTTGGTCACCCTCCGCTGGACCCTCTCCAATGCGTCCACATCCTTTCTTTAGTGGGGAGCCCAGAACTGGATATAATACTCCAGGGCTGTGTCTACACTGGCGCGATCTCGCACAAAAGCAGCCGCTCTTACGCAAAAACTTGCTGCCTGTCTACACTGGCCACGTATTCTTGTGCAAGTAAACTGATGTTCTAATGTATAAAATCAAGGCCTCTTGCGCAAATACTCTGACACTCCCGCTCAGGAATAAGCCCTCTTGCGCAAGAGCACTTCCAGAAGAGGCCAATGTAGACAGGCAACATGAATTTCTTGCTCAAGAAAGCCCTATGGATAAAATGGCCATCAGAACTTTCTTGCGCAAGAGAGCGTCTACACTAGCATGGATGCTCTTGCACAAAAGCACATGCCAGTGTAGACGCTCTCTTCTGGAAGAATTGTTGCAGAAGAACTCTTCCGCGAAAGTTTTTGTGTGAGAACGTGCCAGTGTAGACGTAGCCCAGGTGTGGCCTCACCAACAAAAAATAAAGGGGAATAATCACTTCTCTAGATCTCATAGCAATGCTCTTCCTAATGCAACCTTATATGCCATTAGCCTTCTTGGCTACAAAGGCAACTGTTGACTCATATCCAGCTTCTCATCCACTGTAACCCCCAGGTCCTTTTCTGCCGAACTGCTACTTAGCCATTCCATCCCAAGCCTGTAACAATGCTTGGGATTCTTCCGTCCCAAGTGTATCTACCTCTCCCCCTAGCTTAGTGTCATGTGCAGACTTGCTGAGGGTGCAATCCATCCCCTCATCCAGGTAATTTATAAAGATGTTGAACAAAACTGGTCCTAGAACCGATCCTTGGAGCACACTGCTAGAAACTGACCACCAACCTGACATCGAGCTGTTGATCACTACTGGTTGGGCCCAACATTCTAGCCATCTTACAGTCAAGTTATCCAGTCCATACTCCCTGAACTTGCTGGCAAGAATATTGTGGGAGACCGTATCAAAAGCTATAGGTATATCACATCCACTGATTTTCACATATCCACAGAGCCAGTTACATCGTCATAGAAGCTAATCAGATTGGTCAGGCATGACTTGCCCTTTGTGAATCCATGTTGACTGTTCCTGATCACTTTCCCCTCTTCCAAGTGCTTCAGAAAGGATTCCTTGAGGATCCCTTCCATGATTTTTCCGGTAACTGAGGTAAGGCTGACAGGTCTGTAGTTCCCTGGATTGTCCTTCTTCCCCTTTTTAAAGATGGGTACTACATTTGCCTTTTTCCAATCATCCGGGATCTCTCCCGATCTCCACCAGTTTTCATAGATAATGGCCAAAGACTCCTCAATGACATTTGCCAACTCCCTCAGTACCCTCGGATGCATTAAATTCAGACCCATGGATTTGTGTATGTTTAGCTTTTCTAAATATTTCCTAACCTATACTTTTCCTATCAAGGGCTCTCCACCTTCTTCCCATATTATGTTTCTTAGGGTATGTCTACACGAGCCCCCTAGTTTGATCTAAGATGGCTAATGAAGGTGACCAAAATTGCAAATGAAGCATGGGATTTAAATATTTAAGTATTCCTACTGCAAAGAGGTTTACCAGATAATTCTGATAACTCCGCTGCATTCTCGAGCTGTACATTTATACCTTTCCCTAGTCATCTGTCCAAGTTTCCAATTCTTGTAAGCTTCCTTTTTGTGCTTCACTTCACCAAGGATTTCCCCAGTAAGCCAATCTGGTCTCCTACCATATTTGCTTCTCTTGCTATGCATTTGGCTGTTTTCTTCTTGTGCCTTCAATAAGGCTTCTTTAAAATACTGCCAGCTCTCCTGGAGTATCAGCTGATCTGGCACAGCACGGCAGTCTAGACGCGGATCTGTAGGCTGGGGAAGCCTTTGCTGACTGATCCCTTATGCCTCGTGAAATGAGGTTTACAGGATCAGTCGGCAAAGGCTTCCCCAGCCGACAGATCCGCATCTATTTAAATCCCCACTTCTTTGCCTATGTCGGGTAAACTAGTTTACATGGCTCTGTCGATGAAGCCAGGTAGTCTAGACATACCCTAGGTTACCTCCCTCAACCAGTAATGGCCCCACACCCTTTCTTCTTGCTCACATGCCTGCAGAAACCTTTTTTGTTACCCCTCACATCCCTTGCTAGCTGGAATTCCAATTGCACTTTCGCCTTCTTGATAACACCTCTGTATTCTCGAGCAATATATTGATACTCCTCCCTAGTCATCTGTCCAAGTCTCCACTTCTTGTAAGCTTCCTTTTTGTATTTAAGCTCACCAAGGATTTCCCCGATAAGCCAGTCTGGTCACCTACCATATTTGCTTTTCTTACTGCGCATCAGGATGGTTTCTTCCTGTGCCTTCAATAAGGCTTCTTTAAAATACTGCCAGTTCTCCTGGACTCCTTTCCCCTTCATGTAAGCATTCCCCAGAATCCTGCCCATCAGTTCTCTGAGGGAGTCAAAGTCTGCTCTTCTGAATTCCAGGGTGTGTATTTTGCTACTCTTCCTTCTTCCTTTGGTCAGGATCCTGAAATCTACCATCTCATGATCACTGCTTCTGAGGTTGTCATCCGCCTCTACTTCCCCTATTAGTTCCTCCCTGTTTGTGAGCAGTCCTTCAGCACTTGTACCAAGAAGTTATCCCCAACATTCTCCCAAAAACTTCCTGGATTGCCTGTGTACTGCCGTATTGGTCTCCCAACAGATGTCAGGGTGATTAAAGTCCCCCATGAGAACCAGGGCCTTCAATCTGGAAGCTTCTCTCGGTTGTCTGAAGAAAGCCTGGTCTACCTCATCCACCTGATCCGGTGGTCTATAGCAGATCCCAATCACAACATCACTCCTGTTGCTTCCACCTCTAAACTTAACCCGTAGACTCTCAACAGGCTTTTCACTCTCTATATACTGGTCTGCAGGTGTCCTTCCCACACCCCAGCACACATTCTCTGCACATGTCTCACCCACACTGCAGCACATTATCAAACTCCCTCCCACACTCCAGTGCATGCTGTCTGCCAAGGTCCCTCCCACACCCCAGCGCATGCTGTCGGCCAGCATCCCTCCCACACCCTAGCGCATGCTGTCTGCCAGCATCCCTCCCACACCGCAGCGCATGCTGCCTGCCAAGGTCCCTCCCACGCCGCAGCGCATGCTGTCTGCCAGCGTCCCTCCCACACCCCAGCGCATGCTGTCTGCTAAGGTCCCTCCCACACCGCAGCGCATGCTGCCTGTCAGCGTCCCTCCCACACCGCAACGCATACTGTCTGCCAAGGTCCCTCCCACACCCCAGCGCATGCTGTCTGCCAGCGTCCCTCCCACACCCCAGTGTATGATCTCTGCCAGCATCCCTCCCACACCCCAGCGCATGCTGTCTACCAAGGTCCCTCCCACACCCCAGCGCATGCTGTCTGCCAGCGTCCCTCCCACACCCCAGCGCATGCTGTCGGCCAGCGTCCCTCCCACACCCCAGCGCATGCTGTCGGCCAGCGTCCCTCCCACACCCCAGCGCATGCTGTCGGCCAGCGTCCCTCCCACACCCCAGCGCATGCTGTCGGCCAGCGTCCCTCCCACACCCCAGCGCATGCTGTCGGCCAGCGTCCCTCCCACACCCCAGCGCATGCTGTCGGCCAGCGTCCCTCCCACACCCCAGCGCATGCTGTCGGCCAGCGTCCCTCCCACACCCCAGCGCATGCTGTCTGCCAGCGTCCCTCCCACACCCCAGCGCATGCTGTCTGCCAGCGTCCCTCCCACACCCCAGCGCATGCTGTCTGCCAGCGTCCCTCCCACACCCCAGCGCATGCTGTCTGCCAGCGTCCCTCCCACACCCCAGCGCATGCTGTCTGCCAGCGTCCCTCCCACACCCCAGCGCATGCTGTCTGCCAGCGTCCCTCCCACACCCCAGCGCATGCTGTCTGCCAGCGTCCCTCCCACACCCCAGCGCATGCTGTCTGCCAGCGTCCCTCCCACACCCCAGCGCATGCTGTCTGCCAGCGTCCCTCCCACACCCCAGCGCATGCTGTCTGCCAGCGTCCCTCCCACACCCCAGCGCATGCTGTCTGCCAGCGTCCCTCCCACACCCCAGCGCATGCTGTCTGCCAGCGTCCCTCCCACACCCCAGCGCATGCTGTCTGCCAGCGTCCCTCCCACACCCCAGCGCATGCTGTCTGCCAGCGTCCCTCCCACACCCCAGCGCATGCTGTCTGCCAGCGTCCCTCCCACACCCCAGCGCATGCTGTCTGCCAGCGTCCCTCCCACACCCCAGCGCATGCTGTCTGCCAGCGTCCCTCCCACACCCCAGCGCATGCTGTCTGCCAGCGTCCCTCCCACACCCCAGCGCATGCTGTCTGCCAGCGTCCCTCCCACACCCCAGCGCATGCTGTCTGCCAGCGTCCCTCCCACACCCCAGCGCATGCTGTCTGCCAGCGTCCCTCCCACACCCCAGCGCATGCTGTCTGCCAGCGTCCCTCCCACACCCCAGCGCATGCTGTCTGCCAGCGTCCCTCCCACACCCCAGCGCATGCTGTCTGCCAGCGTCCCTCCCACACCCCAGCGCATGCTGTCTGCCAGCGTCCCTCCCACACCCCAGCGCATGCTGTCTGCCAGCGTCCCTCCCACACCCCAGCGCATGCTGTCTGCCAGCGTCCCTCCCACACCCCAGCGCATGCTGTCTGCCAGCGTCCCTCCCACACCCCAGCGCATGCTGTCTGCCAGCGTCCCTCCCACACCCCAGCGCATGCTGTCTGCCAGCGTCCCTCCCACACCCCAGCGCATGCTGTCTGTCAATGTCCCTTCTACACCCCAGCACATGCTGTCTGACAGCCTCCCTCCCACACCACAGTGCACATGTCCCACCCACACTACAGCGCGCTGTCAAACTCCCTCCCACACCCCAGCGCATGCTGTCTGCCAGCGTCCCTCCCACACCCCAGCACACATTGTCTGCACGTCGCAACCACACTCCAGTGTGCTGTCAACCTCCCTGGCACACCCTAGTGCATGCTGTCTGCCAACGTCCCTCCCACACCACAGTGCATGCTGTCTGCCAGCGTCCCTCCCATACCCCAGCGCATGCTGTCTGCCAGTGTCCTTCCCACACTCTGACACATGCTGTTTGCAGACATCCCTCCCTTTTTCACAATATGGGAAAGGCAGGGTGCACTCAACCCCTGCACCAGGATCCCCTGCTATATTCATTCCTCTATGTCCCTTCCCAGTTGACCAAGTGCCCCTTACCGCTCTGAGCGCATCTTCTCATCCTTCATATCCACTTTGCTGATGGTCTTTGAGGTTGTCACACTGATCTCCTTCCCATCCACAACAAACTTCCGGGTTTTCCTCACTGTTCTTCTTAGGGCAACAGGCTCCTGAGATCAGAAATGGGGTTTTAAGCTCACAACAAGCCTAGAATCCACAAATTCAGAGCGAAACCCAACAAAATAACTGATGTGGAGTCAGCGTCAGCCTGCACCACAGAATTCCATTTGCTCCTGTACCACTCAGGGCCCAGATAACCATGAGGACTGACACAAGCGTTCACTCTGTTCTTTCTCGGGGGAGCTCCCAGAGAAGCCAAGTCACTGCCTGAGAAAGGACTGAGTTAATACTCATAGATTCACAGACAGCAAGGCCAGAAGAGGCCACCATGATCATCCAGTGTGATCTCCTGCACATTGCCAGCCATAGAACTGCACCCACCCTCTCTAATTCAGACCAGCACATGACCTGCACCCCTTGACATTCCCTCAACCCAGGGCCTCTCCCAATCTGACTTAGCGGAAAATTCCTTTCCTACCCCCAAAACAGCAGCCAGTTAGACACTGCACATGTGAGCAAGACCCACCAGGCAGCTACCCGGGAAAGAATCCTCTGCAGTAACTCAGTGCCCTCTCCACCTAGTGTCTCATCTCCGGTCATTGGAGATATTTTCCATTAGCAGTCACAGGTCAGCTCCATGCCCTCGGGGGCAGCTCCTCCTTCCTGCCATAAACTTACCAAGCTCAGGTAGGTCTTTGCCCCCACTGCTCCTCTTGGGAGGCTGTTCCAGACCTTCACCCCTTTGATGGCTAGAAACCATTGATACTCAAGCCTAAACTTGCTGATGGCCAGTTTCTATCCATTCGTTCTTGTGCCCACATTGACCCTTAACTTGAATAACTCCTCTCCCCCCGGTATTTATCCCTTTGATGTACTTATAGAGAGCAACCAAAGCCTCCCTCAGCCTTTGTTTCCTTAGGCTAAACAAGCCAAACTCTTTGAGTCTCTCTGATAAGGTGGGTTTTCCATTCCTCAGATCCTCTTAGTAGCTCAGCAGTTCATCTGTTCCAGTCTGAATTCAACTTTCTTACATGGAGACCAGAACTGCACTCAGGGTTTCCAGATAAAGAATTTGAATATTTTTGAAGCATGTTAGGGACAATTTCTGGGGGCAAGTGCTGAAGGAACAAACTAGGGATAGTCTGTTCCCCACCACTCAAGATTGTTCTCCTCTTTCACTTCTAACTGATATGCCCCAGGTTATAGCAAAAAATTCTGGTTTTAGTCCCTATGTGCATGACCTTGCACTTTGCATTATTACATTTCATCCGATTTCTATTATTCCAGTTTTCAAGGTCATTCAGATCTTCTTGCATCTTCTTCTCTGGATTGAAAATACCTTCCTGCTTTGTGTCATCTGCAAATTTCATTAGCATGCTGTGATAGGTAGGCCTGACCACACGAGGCCAGACTGCCTGGAGCTGAAGGGCAGCCCAAAGCCAGCCACCCAATCACAGAATCATAGAATACTAGAACTGAAAGGGACCTTGAGAGGTCATTGAGTCCAGTCCCCTGCCCTCATGGCAGGACCAAGCACTGTCTAGACTAGGGTCTCCCAACCTATGGGTCGGGATCCAAATATGGGTCATTATTACATTTCAAAAGGGTCACCAAGTGTCTCCCTGGGTGGCTCTGCCTCCCTCCCTCCCCCGTTTTTAAGTTGCCTTGGGTCACCAAGTCTTCCTGAATTGTCAAAATGGGTCCCCATCTGGAAAAGGTTGGGAACCGCTAGTCTAGACCATCCCTGATAGATGTCTATCCAATCTGCTCTTAAATATCTCCAGGGATGGAGATTCCACAACCTCCCTGGGCAATTTATTCCAGTGTTTAACCCCCCTGACAGGAAATTTTTCCCAATGTCCAACCTCAACCTCCCTTGCTGCAGTATAGGGAGCCTCCTGGTGGGAGGGTGCGTTCCCAGGCAGCAGTTAGCAAGCAGCTTGTGGTACCTGAGTGTTATTGTGATGAATTGTTAAAACTGGCTCATCATGGTCCATTTGCAGGACATCTGGGTGTCAGCAAAACTGGTGATAGGCCGGAGCAAAATTTCTACTGACCCCACATGTTCAGGTCAGTGAGACAATATCACAGAAGCTGAGTTGTGACAGAAGCATAAGAAGTTAAGGGGGCCTAGCAAGGTGCCCCTGCAGCCTCTACCCATCATTGGGGAGGCCTTTGCCAGAGTGTCGGTGGGACCACTCCCAACGCCTTTCAGGAATGGGAAGGAGCCAGGAGCGGCCCGAGGCCGACTGCGGCAGCTGGCGCCCTAGGCGGAAGGTGCGGTCTGCGCCCCCGCCTGCACGGCCATCAATGGCCGTGACATCATCATTGGGCGCCCGGGTCCGCGGCGCCCTAGGAAACTGCCTAGTTTTCCTAGGTCCACGGGCCGCCCTTGGAAGGAGCACATCTTTGTGGGGCAGATTTTGCCAACAGGTACCTTGAAGCTGTAGCTTTGTCTAATGTGGCGGCAGAGACAGTAGCAGCAGCTTTGTTTGCTATTTTTAGCAGGGTGGGTTTCCCCAAGGAAATTCCATCTGGCTGTGGGTCTAACTTCATGTTGGTTGTTTTCAGGCAGTTGTGAGGTGAAGCCCCCGAGGGCTGCTCCATACCACCCACAGACTAATGGGCTGGTGGCGAGTTCCCAAAGCCACGCACCATCCATACTCAGGCAAAGCTCCAGTGCAGGAGATTTTGGAACAGCTCCTCAGCCAGGGTAAAGTGCACGTGGCACCAGCGGGGAGTCTGTCCCACTGAGCACAGGCAGAGAAAAGGGTGTCGGGGTTGCTGCTGGCAGTTTAATCCATTTCTATGGCTTTTCTGTTTCACTATGTGCTGTGAGACACACACCATCCAGCACTGTGCTACTGGACTGCTTTGCACTGCCCAGCCGCACAGCATGGCTCGGAATGGAGCTGGCCCTTGGAGCGGCCAGGGGAGAGCACAGCAGGAGGATGTCCTGTCTGCAGCCACGAAATGGCAGCAAGTTGCTTTCTCCTTTACCCATGGCTGTCTCAGCCCTGACCCAATGGGACCCATTTCTCAATTCCATCAGCTCAGTCCTCTCCAGGGAGCCAGTTTGTGCTGGGCCAGCTGTGTTACAGGGGCTCAGGGGGAATGGACACAGGACTTAGCATGCCAAGTCAGCCCACATCAGCCTCTCAGCCAGGCCCAGAGACAGCCCTAGAGATAAAAGGCCCCAGGCCTCAGCCCCTGGCAGCCCATCCCACCCCCATACAAAGCATTCTGGACTCATGTGCCTTGCCACCGTACCTGTGTGATGTCTTGCACATGGCATGGGGGCTGCAGCCTGGCAGAAGGAAGGTGGTGGTGTATGTCAGACTCTGTAGCGCCTGGTGAGGTCAGCGTCTCTTCTCCTTGGCTTTGTATTAAACCATCATTTAAGGTCGAATCTCCCTTACCACTAGGATCTTTTCCATCTCTCATTGCTCCTCTATCAGCTGCTTGTTCCAGGGGCTCCTCACCAAAGCTCACTCTCTTCTGTACCTTTGGGTGCTCAGCAGGTGCCCTCTGGGGTTCTGGCACAGCTCCGTTCCCCAGTGGGGCACTTATCTCTTCTTTTCCAGCTCCTGAAGCCCCTTCTGAATCCGGAGCAGCCTCTGCCAGATCTTCTCCAGGTGGGCGTCTCTCTTCCTTCGCTGTTTCTCTACCATGTACGCCTCCCTCAGCTTTATGATTTCTGTCCTCAACAACATGTAATGGGCCACCTCTAGAGCTGTCTATTGTGTCTTTCATTTTCTCCCCTGAGTGTGCTTTGGCTGGCACCAGGCTCTCCTCAGGGGAGATATCCACCACTGAGTTTTCAGCCTCTAAATTTAAATATCCCAGTGTTGTGTTGCCTTCCTGGGCTCTCTCTTTTGCAGGCCCCAGTATCTCCTGGCTGGAGGTGTCCACCTCTGCACTTTGGTCTCCATTGAAATATTCCTCCACAACCTGCTTTACAGGAACTCTTTCCGTCTCCTCACGTGCTGGCCCCATGATCTCCTTGGGGGAGGTGTCCACCCCTGACTGTGGGTCTTCATTTACAGGACCCCTTCTATAGTCTGGAATTTCTTCCTCAGTTTTCCCTCTTTCCTCTTTGGATAGAACCTCTGTCTCTTTAGAAAATCTATTGCCCACTGTCTCAGCCTCTCCCATACAGTGTGGCTCTTGTTGCTCTTCTAGGGCTGCTGATCCCACCTTTATGTTTTCATTTGTGTTCTCCACATCTCCTTCTGTTTCATTTGTCACTGAGGATGGTTCTGGCTCCTGCTGATTCTCATCACTCTGGGCTAGTTCCTTGGGGAGCTGTTCCTTCTCGCTTTCACAGGGTGTCTGCTCTGCTATTGCTCGTACTTCTGCTGCAGGTAAGCAATTTTCAGTCTGTAATCTAACCCCACTTGATCCCTGGTTGACACACGTTCCAGAGCCTTTGGGCCAGACGTGTCGCCAGGATTCTGTGATGCTCAGACCTCCTGTGCTAGTCTGACAAAGGTCTAGAGCTGCTATTAGCCGCATGCCCTCGCTCAGGTCCAGCTTTGCACGAGGGCTGGGCACAGACGCACAATCCAGGTAATGGTTCATGGCTAGGCACCGCATTTCCTCTGTCCTTTCAGCCTGAGTCCTCAGTCTCCTGGGACCGGAGGCAGGATTCTCATCCCCTGTCTGCCCTTCTCCCGTCCCAGCTGAGCGTTCAGACATGTCCCACTTGGCTGCTCCTGCATGTTCATGCAGAGACAATAAATCACAGGTAGGGTCGTGATTTGACAGGCTTTCCGTGGGACTCCCTGAGTGCAAACTGGGGCACGTCGGGGTTCTGCCCTCTAGGCCTGGAGCAGCCTGGTGACTCTCTGGAGTACTGCAGGCTTCTGGGGAGGGAATTCTGTCTGTTGTGGGGGACTCACAGAGTTTAAAACCTGCCTGAATCCCTTCCAATACAGACTTGGCCTGATCATCAGCAGTTTCTGCTGCTTCTCTTTCCGGCTCTTGCCCTTCGGCTGGATCTGTAGATGGTGCTAAATGATTTGGCTCAATATACAGTTCTTTTGCTGGAGCTGGTCTCTCTACAGGGCTAGCCTCTTTTTCACGGCGGACTATACATTGCGTCTCTGCTTCTAGTTTGAGTGCTGCTGTTCCTTCTAGTGTGCCTGGCCGTCCCACACACGGCTGAGGCTCAGGACACTCAGACAGCTGCTCCTCCTCCAGCCCCTCTTTCCCAGTGGCTGCATGCACCCCAGGCTCGCCACTGACCCCACGTTGTTTGCTGCCATTTTCTTGTGTCTTGAATCCACCAAAGAATGACCTGCGTCTCATTAGCTTCAGGATGTCGGGGGGCCTTCGAGAGGGGAGCCTCATGGAGCCACGCAGCTCCCGGGAAGCCGCAAACAAGGGTGTGGACTTTCGCCTCATTTGTTTTAGGAAGTCAGAAGCTTTTTTTGCCCTCATCTGGGGACCACAGTGACCAGATTCCCCCTGAAGACTGGTGCTTCCCCCCGGTCCTGCAGACTCCAGCTGGGCAAGAGGGGAAGGGCTCCCTGTCTCATTCTTTGGAAACCCCATTTGCTCTTCCTGCTGCCTCTCCTCTGTTGGCGCAGCAGACTGGCTGGCTGGCTGAGCCATCTCCATCTCCCCGCCAGCTCCTACCAGCCAGCAGGGAGGCACTTCCCTCCCCTCTAGGTTCTGGCTGGGTTTGGACAGTGTCTCCTGCTGGCAGGGACTGCTGCTGGAGGCCTTGTAGGAGCCATGCGGTGGCTGTTGGACCAAAAGGAGATGGGTTAGAGGCTGCATATGGATGTATCCTTTCCCATCCCAACCCCGGGAACCTGCCCTATCAAATCACGAGGCGCCAGTGGGCCAGATCATTGCTCTAGAGCCCAACATGCCTGGCCTTGCTCGCTCCACAACCCCAACACACCTGGATTCACACACTCTACTCCCCACTCCGGAAACTAGCCTTGCCCCCTATCACCCCAGCCTGTCCCTCCCAGCACATGGGTCTTGCTCTTTCTCTCCCGTGCAGCACACTTGGCCCCCCACTATCACCCCTCCCCCCAAGGCAGGCCAGGGTCAGCAGGGGCTCTTTGAGGGGCAGGCTGCCCTGGTCCACGTGGTCTGATGTTTCCCTTCCTGAGCTGACAGCCTTAAGAACACGAGAATGGGATTCAGTTGGTGCTTACTGACAGTACGTGTCCTTCTTCCTCCTCCTCCTCTTCCACCTCCTCCATCACCTCAGCCCTGGCCTCTGCAATCAACTCCCGCAGGGGCCTCTTCTCTGACACCTCTGCCACGAAGGGATGCTGGAAGGAAGCAAAGGCCCATACGGTGCAGTTCTCCACCAGATGGTCTCTGTCTGCCAGGCCCAGGGCCAGGGCCCAGCTGGTGTAAACTGCCCCATGATGTGAGCTCCACAAAACCAGGTGGAACCTGAGTTTCACTGCTGAGGGAAGGGGGATTCTGGGGCACAAGATGACATGAACTCCCCTCCGGTATTCCTTGTAAGCTGTGCACACATGCAGCCACTTAGGAGAGAGTCCAGTGCCGCCCAGTTGATTAGTAGAGCGCCCACAGCTAGGTTTGTGTTTATACTGGTAGTGCACATTTTCACAGGCCTTGGTGCACATAATTTATTCCACACATGGATGAGAAAGATTAAAGGGAACATTTCTCCCCTCGCCCGCACCCCCACTCTGCCCCTTCCTTGATTGGAGGACATGGCCAACGTGGGTGCGTGTCTCACCTGAAGGAGCTGGATGGCTGACCACCGGGCCTCGGGATTCCTCTCCAGCGATTTCCTCAGAAAATCTTTGAATTCCTCAGACCTGCAGGACACAGCAATGGACAATTCAGCCACTCTGTGCTGCTTCGCCCTGAGCTCTGCTAGCTCTGGGCTCCCCCAGGCAGCCTGGCCAAGGACCCTCCTTTAAGCCTAGGCAGGTGGTGGGAAGAAGACTCAGTTTGTGGCTAAGAAGTGGCCTAGAAGCTGGCACTCCTAGGAGCTAACTAGGTGACCTTGGCTCAGTGCCTGCAGCTGCCTTATGGGGTGATGGTAACCACCCATTACCAGCTTGCACCATGGACCAGAGTTACCAGCACATTGGTGCCCACCCCAGAGATGCTACCTGCTGAGCAGTGTGGGTTGCTGGAAGTGAGTGCCCTTGGACGTCACTGCTGTGGCCACGAAGGCGAGTTTCCAGAACGAGACATTGCAGGGTTCCCTGGTCAATGGACTCACCACCGCTTGGGATAGCACAGGGTGGGCGGGTGGGACTTGGAGATTTTCAGCAGCACCCTCATGGGGTTCAGCTCATGGTAGGGGGGCTCCATCTCCGCCATCTCGATCAGGGTGATCCCCAGGGACCAGATGTCAGCCTTGTAGTTGTAGGGGTTCTCCTTTGAGGTCTCACACTGCACCACTTCTGGAGCCATCCTGCACCCCAGGAGAAAGACAAGCTCACAACGGTTACTGGTGCCCCCTGCAGTCCACTGCCCTGGTGCACTCAGGGGACAGAGGTTTCAGCATCTGCCTTGCCCGGAGCATTTGCTGTCTACAGCACCAAGTGGCATGTCGGGCTGTCTTGCAAGTGGCCCAGGAATGAGGATGAGCTTGGCGTCTTTTCCATGGAGCCCATCCAGCACTGCTCAGGCTCCTAAAGCGAGGCATGTGGGAACAGGGGGTCTGCCTAGGTGAAGTGGCTCAGGGCCAAAAGCCTGTTCGGCGCTCACCTGGGGCTGCAGATGCCACCCAATGTCAGGGGACAGCTGGAATTGACTACATCCTGCACCGGACACAGCTGGTCAAAAGGCCAAGAATTTATGATGGGAAACATCATTGTTTCTGGGGTTTTTTCAAAATTTCCTAGGAAATTTGTCACATTTGCAAAGAAAAGCCGGACTCGGAAACAGAAAAAAATCGTTTTATGAAACCATCGCCAGTAAAACAAAATATGGGTTTCAATATTAGCAAGCAACAATTTTTACCAAAAGCCAAGGATTGTCAGATTTTTTTCAGCTGCTGCTTTTTCATCCAAACCTCTTTTTGTATCACATTTTCCTTTTCAATAAAACACCCTTGTTGTGCTGAAATTATGCCAATGGAAACCCTTGGTTCCCGTTTCCCGTCTCTTGGCTCACTGGAGCTCAGCCTGCCCCTGAAGGGACAGTACTGACCATTTCTGATGCGTATCTACAGGCTCCAGAAGCCAGTCGAAAAGCACTTTGTTCCCAAGTCCATTACCCACAATGCCCTTCTGTCCCCAGACAGTGCTTGAACTTACCAATATGGTGTCCCAAGGAAGGATGCCCGTCGCTGCAGGGTGCGGGCATTTTTGGCAGAAACTCCAAAATCAGCTACGTGATAAAGAAAGAAGACAATGACTGTGAGTGGGCCTCGTTTCCTGGGGCTGAGCTCTCTGTGTATGTAACTCCATAGCAATGGAAGAGGGCACTTCACTGCTGCCAGTGGTGTTACGGCAGCCAAGTGTGTGACCCCTCGCTTGCCCACACCACCGCTACGGTTGCTCTGGGAACACGGTGCATCTCGCTGGCTGTGGCCCATAGCTCCTGCTGATCATGCACTAGAACGCTTCTGAGGGTAGAACTATCTGTGAGTTACCCAAAGGCATTAGCTAGCCTAGGGGATACCTCTACCAGAAAAGCTATGCTGGCATTCCCCCTCCTGGAAGCTTGGTCCAGCAAGAGTCCTTTTGCTGGTGTAGCTGATACCAGGTTCCCAAAAGAAATGGGTTATGCCAGATAGCAAAAGGATATTTTTGCCAGTATAACTGTGTCTACACCAGGGCTTTTGCTGGCACAGCTACGTTGGTTGGTAGGGGATTTTTTCATGCTCCTAACCAATGTAGCCACTTTGTCAAAACTATTCATGGCCAATCAGGTCTCTAGGAGCATCTGTAATGTCTGAAAATGAAGTGAAATGGAAGGGGGGGGGGGGAAGGAAATTTAATTGCCAGGACCCCACATTTCCCTAGCTGGGACAGCACACCTGGAGCAGTGTGTGGACAGTGCAGGGCCACCTGCAACCCTACAGTGTGTTTACACCAAACACGTGACGGCTGACCAACCTCAGGTGCTGGCTACATGGAGCACAGGGACCAAAATCTGGTCCCTGTACATTTCACAAGCACTGGGGGAAGGTGGTGCAGCTCCCCTGCTGCAGGATCCTGGGTTGCTGCTAGGGAGTTGTACTGCCTTTGAGCACACGTGTCCCATCCCCAGCCTCCCCACTTCCCTTCCCAACAGGCTCACCCAGCTTGACATCCCCTTCCAAGGTCAGCAAGACATTCCCAGCCTTCAGGTCCCTGTGAATGATCTTGTGGCTGTGGAGATATTGTAGGGCCAGCAGGATCTGCCTGCAGGCCACTCGGATCTGCTCCTCAGTCAGGCCCTTCTCCAGCTCTGCAAACAGAGACCCCTCTGGGCAGTTAATGCTAACGGCCCACAACGCCTAGGGCACAGTGCAAGAACCATCATGACCCTCCCTCAGGGCTGGGGTCTGACTCCTGAGCCGGGTCTCCCTCTGCATAGCCAGCCCCTGTGGGTCTCTCGGGATCTCTGCTTGAACAACCAGGGGAGGGGCCCCTATGGCCTGGCTCGAGGTAGGAAGAAGTGGTGCAAGCAGACCTGCAAAGAAGCACTTGAAAGCTGGCCTCTCTCACCACAGAAGATGGTCCCTGCCTCACCTCATCTATTCCACAGAGCTGGGTGGCAGAATAGAAGTTGTTATGAAGCAGCAGAAGGGTTCAGGGCTGTGTGTGCAGGCGCCGCACAGACACCGAGAGAGGCCCTGGCCTGGAGGTACAGCTGGCCTAGCTAGTGTGGGTACAAAGGCAGCCTGGTACAGGGACTTCAGGATGAATCAGGGCCCCATTGAATGGGCAGAGCCAGAACCCGACCCTGCCCCAAAGAGCCTGCACTCTCAATAGATAGCCAGGCACAGGGGGAAACTGTGACACAAAGCCACTCGCTCAAAGTCACCAAGAGCCTGTGGCAAGACAGGAGTTTCAGCCATGTCTCTCC